TTTTATTTTTTGGTTACTTGTTTCGTTAGTTGTTATTGTAACATCTTACCTTCAATTTCGACCTAGCTTAGGCGCTTAATTGAAAGTTCTTGAACATTATCGTTCCTTTGGGTTCAACCCTTGACTTGCATCTATACTCGTATTTAGGTTTGTTAAGTGTTTATAAATTTAATTTGACCGAGGGAAGATTTGATAACGACCTTGTTTTCCACTCGTCAACCCCCTTGTCAAGGAAGTATTGGTTGGGTTCCATGATGTTTTTTTCCGATGATCTCCCCCCCGGTTTGCCACCTATTAGGGGAATTGAGCATCAAATCAATCTTATTCCCGGATCACAACTCCTAATAGACCGGCTTATAGGTGTACCTCCGATGAAGCAAGAGAGCTTCAAAGACAAGTTGGTGAGTTGATTGACAGAGGATTTGTGAGTGAATCCCTTAGCCCTTGTTCGGTTCCGGCTCTTTTTGTTCCTAAAAAGGATGGTACATGGAGGATGTGTGTGGATAGTAGGGCCATCAATAACATCACCATCAATTATCGCTTCCCTATTCCCCGACTTGATGTTATGCTTGATGAGTTATATGGTTCCAAGGTGTTTTCGAAGATTGACTTGAGGATGGGGTACCATCAAATTCGCATGCGTGAAGGAGATGAGTGGAAGACTGCTTTCAAGACAAACCAAGGCTTGTATGAGTGGCTAGTCATGCCATTTGGGCTCTCTAATGCTCCTAGCACTTTTATGAGGCACATGAATGAGGTACTTCGCCCCTTCATTGGTAAATTTGTTGTTATTCATTTTGATGACATACTTGTTTATAGAAAATGTGAACTTGATCATGTTAAACATTTGAGGCAAGTATTTGAAATATTGAGAAGTAGGCGGCTTTTTGCCAAGTTGGAAATGTAAACTTTTATGGTGGATAGTATTGTTTTTCTTGGCTATGTAATTTCAAATGTAGGGATCTCAATGGACCCTAGTAAAGTGGAGGCCATTCAATCTTGGCATACTCCTACTACTCTCAATCAAGTTAGGAGTTTCCATGGACTAGCTTCCTTCTATCGAAGGTTTGTGAAGAATTTTAGCACTATTTTGGCCCCGGTGACCGAATGCATGAAGAAGGGTACTTTTTAGTGGACACCATCGGCTCAAAGGGCTTTTGAGACCCTCAAGAATAAATTGTATGAGGCTCTAATCTTATCTCTTCCGAATTTTGATCAACCCTTTGAAGTTGAATGTGATGCTAGTTGGGTTGGAGTTGGAACGGTTCTTGTGCAAGGAGGGAGGTCGGTTTCCTATTTTAGTGAGAATCTTGGTGGAGCAAGAATGAAGTATAGTACCTATGACAAGGAGTTCTATGCTATTGTGAGGGCTCTTGATCATTGGTCACATTTCTTGAGTCCTAGACCATTTGTACTACACTCCGATCATGAATCTCCCAAGTACATCAATGGTTCTCATAAACTGAATCCAAGGCATGCCAAATGGGTTGAATTCCTCCAATCATTCACTTTATCTTCTAAGTACAAGGAAGGGAAGAGCAATGTTGTTGTCGATGCTCTTTCAAGGAGGCATTGTATGATCACTATTCTTGATGCAAAGTTTTTATGGTTTGAGTTGCTAAAAGAGTTGTATCGCGATGATAAGGATTTTGGTGGGTTGATGAAGAAGTGTGAGGAAGGGGTCGATGGCTCTTTCATGGTGGAAAAGGTTTCCTTTTCAAGGGAAACAAGCTTTGTGTTCCGAAATGCTCTCATCGACAGTTGCTTGTTAAGGAAACTCATCAAGGAGGACTAGCCGAACACTTTCGGGTTGCAAAAACATATGAAATTCTTCGAGAGCACTTTTATTGGCCCAAGATGTTTAGTGATGTGAAAGATGTCGTAGCTCGTTGTTGGGCTTGTCACAAGGCAAAGAGTCAATACCGTGAAGGACTCTACTCTCCTTTTCCGGTCCCTAGTCACCCTTGGTATGATCTTAGTATTGATTTTGTGGTTGCTCTCCCTCGCACTCAAAGGCAAAATGATTCCGTGTTTGTTGTGGTTGATCGTTTTAGCAAGATGGCTCACTTCATTCCTTGCCACAAGACCGATGACGCTTCTCATGTGGCTACCTTGTTCTTTAGAGAAGTGGTGAAGCTTCATGGCATTCAAAAAAGTATTGTGTCGGACCGCGATCCAAAGTTCTTGAGCTACTTTTGGAAGACTTTATGGAAGTTTGTGGGAACCAAGCTCTTGTCTAGTACCTCTAGTCACCCTCAAACTGATGGCCAAACAGAGGTGACTAACTGTACCCTGTCCACCGTTCTCCGAGCTATCATTAGCAAACACATGAAATATTGGGATCTTAAGCTACCTCAAGTTGAATTTGCTTACAACCGGTCTCATTGCATAGCTACCGGGAAGACACCATTTGAAGTAGTGTATGGCTTCTATCCCCGCCTACCACTTGACTTGTTGCCTAGTATCCCTCAAGAGGAGTTGAGCTTTGAGGAAAAAGATAGAGTGGAAACGATGAAAAAGCTTCATGAAGATGTCAAGAAGAGAATTGAGAAGGCAAATGAGAGTTACAAGGCAAGAGCAAACAAATTCAAGAAGCCAAGGGAATTCCATGTAGGTGATCTTGTGTGGCTCCGTCTTTGGAAGGAATGATTCCCGGCTAAGAGAAAGAACAAGATCATGTCAAGATCCGAAGGCCCCTTTGAAGTTGTACAGAGAGTTGGACCTAATGCTTACAAGCTCAAACTACCGGGAGACTTTGGTGCTCATGCTACCATTAATGTTGGTGATCTTGCTCCTTTTCTTTTTGAAGATAATATTTGTGATGATGAACCGGAATTGAGGGCAATTCCTTTTGAAGAAGAGGGGTTTGACGTGGGTGCATGCAACTTAGTGGAAGAAGTGGAAGACTTGCCACTTGTCATGACACGAAGTCGGGCCAAGCTCCTTGGGGGTCACCTTTCGGGACTAACCATCATCACACTTGAAGAAGACAAGAAGAATTAAAGAGCTTCGACCGAACCTAGGAAGTCCGACCGAACCATTTTGCCAGTTTCCAACCTGATTTTCTCAGTTTTGCAGCAGCGGTCGAACTCCAAAGGTTCGACCGAACCAGGAGCAGGACAGTTTGACCGAACTTACCAAGAGTTCGGCCGAACCTACCCCCAAGTTCGACCGAACTTACCCAGAGTTTGGCCGAACCTTTTCCCGTTTTCTTCTCATTTTGTGCGAACTATTTAAGTAGTTTTAAGATGTTTTGTATCTCAATTAATGTTGAACTTTGCTTGATTTTGTAATCAAATAGACTTTCTCTCTTTACCATAATCTTTGTGATTATCTTGCTTTCTTTGTGATTGCTCCCTTGTAATCTTTTTGGTTACACCTTAATCCTAGCTTTACTTGGTGTTAGCTTTGACTAAGATCCCTATTTCATATATCTTGGTGATTGTTGAGATAGGTTTATCTTGTTTTGTTGGTTTGAACTTGTAGTTACTTGATTTCTCCTCCCTTTTTCTTGGGTTTTGTTGGTTATTTCATATCACCTATTGGAGTTAACAATCTCCTGGATTGTTAAGGGGTATAACCTTCCCCCTGTGAATGGTTTACAAGTTCCTAAAACTTGTTGGAGACTCTTTTGCTCTATCTTCCTTCCCTTTGGATGCCACCATGATTTAGTGTATGATCACAGTGGGGTCCAAGTTTGGGGTAATGCTTGAAATATTCCCTCCAACTGTCATTAAAAAACTCACTACCAAAATCAAACAATCCCAAATTTACACAATCACCACCAATTCAAATCAACAATTGCTTTCCAACCATACACCAATCACAATGAAACCAATACCTAATGCTCAACAATATCAATATCACACTACCAAAAATCCAACCTCAACAATTCTCAATAATCATGCCCAATTTATCTACAAAAACATCAAACAACACAATGTGAGGCAATAACAATCACCAACAATGTATATAATCAACCAAAATTCAACATCAATCTTCAAAATCACAAAAATTCATACTACTACTATTCACAACCATCAACAATCTAATACTTGCAACTATATGACATAATTATGAAATTAAGAGTAAAAGAAGATGTTTATACCATACAAGATGCAAGATTGAACAAGTTTTGGCCACCAATTCCCTCAAAAACGAAAAAGCCCCAATTTGCTTCAACAATGGATGAAAGAGATTGAAGGTTGAAATGGATGGAAGTAGTGTATTCTTTGTTGAAAAGGATGGAAAAGTGGGAAGATTTAATGTTTTAGATTGAAAATTGGTTGATTGTGTGATAAAATTTGATGAGAGAGGTTAGGGTTTGTGCGTTTTTGAGAGTGAGATGAGAGGGGATGCGTTTGAGTATGATAGGGAAGAAGGAGAAATGAGGAAAAGAAAGGGGAAAGAAGAAGGTAAAGGCACGGCTACAGGGGTGCGTGCCCGCGCGGCTGGGCTGTGCGCCTGCGCTCGTGTTGCGCGCGGCCACGCCTTCCCCTGGAGTGCCCGCGCCATACAGAGCAACTCGGCTTTTTGCTTCTTTGGTGTGTTCATTTGTAGGCTTATTGTTCAATATCATCTCGGGATTTTCGAACCCATCATAATGATAAGTTTCTAAACATGAAGAATGTGGGTTCAACATCTCTAAAATTTTGATAGCACCCCAATGAACTCACCAAATTCAAATTTTCTTCAAATTTTAGCACAATTTCCCTATCTTACCTCACTAATATTTCTTACCCTTGTTACCTCAAAATATGATAAAATCGAATATACATCACATTGAAAACCGCAAAACACCTATCCATTGCTCGTGCTCAATTTAACTAATCCATTTCCATGAATTTACCATATAATTCCAAAAGAAAAACAAGTGAAAGAAAAGAAAATAAAGGAAATAACATTAAGAAAATAGAAATTAAAAGAAAAAGGTTAGAAATCTCCGGGTTGCCTCCCGGGAAGCGCTTTCTTATGGTCCTAAGCTCGACCCTTCCTCCAAATTATAGAGGGTCAAAGGACACCACCTTACTCAAAGTGGCAGAAAGTACAAACTTCTCTTCAATTTGTAGCAACTCCTCGTTGTTGCTTGATGAAACCTCATTTGCTTGAACTTCAAAAACAACCTTCTCATTCTTCGACTTCAATCTCATTCGCTTCTTCCTAGAAGCCCTTGCCTTCTTCTTGGCCTTGTTCCTTCTTGTAGACAGGTTAACACCATCCACTTCCTTGGAACCATCTTCCTCCTCTTGAGGACAAAGCTCAAACCAATGTGGAATATCAATATTCTCTTCGTCCTTGGCCTTTGAAAGCTTTTCTTCTTCACTAACTTTCATGCCATCAAACTTCACAAGCACATCATCAAAAATCTCATGAACACCGTTAGTTGAAGAATTAATCACACACACATTATCCAATGAACAAAGAAAATTATCATTCATGACTCCTTTTACAAAAGACAAGGATTCATGCATCGGTTTTAGCTTAAAACTTTCTTTTTCATTATCAACTCTCAAAGTGATACGACCTCCTTTAACATCTATTAGAGCACCAGAAGTAGCTAAGAATGGTCTCCCTAGAATAATAGGAATGTGGTCATCCTCTTCAATTTCTAACACAATAAAATCTACGGGAATTGTGAAACCACCTATCCTAAGGGGAACTTCTTCAACTCTTCCTTTTTGGAACGTAATAGATCTATCCGCCAATTGCAAGGTCATGTTTGTAGGAAGAAGTTCTCCTAGTGTAAGCTTCTTGAACAACGAGTAAGGCATAATGCTAACACTAGCACATAAGTCACACAAAGCATTTTCAAATAACTTAATCCTGATTTTGCAAAGAATAGAGAAATTGCCCGGATCTTTCATCTTCTTTGGTAGGTCGTTGTGAATCAATGCACTACAACACTCAACAAGCACTATCGAATCTATCTCATTGCACTCTCTCTTGCCACTCAAAATATCCTTAAGGAATATGGAATATCTAGGCATTTGGGTCATAGCTTCGGTGAGAGGGATAGAAAGATGGACCTCCTTCAACATGTCAAGGAATCTCCCAAATTGTTCATCTAACTTGTTCCTCATAAACTTTTGGGGATATGGAAGGTCGGGTTTTCTTACTTCCTCTTGCACTCTCTAAACACTCTTCTTTTTCTCATGGACTTCCTCTTTGCTCACACTCTTTGACACATCTTTCTCTTTTTCCTTACTTGAATCACAATCACTCTTCTTCTCATCCTCCTCACTATTCCTAGAAACTCTCTCTTCAAGCACTTTTCCACTTCTTGTGGTGATAGAATAAACGAGTTTCTTAGGATCAAATCCTTGAGAGGGTAGTGAAGAAGAGCTAGCACAATCTTTTAAAGTGTTGGCTAGTTGAGTGATTTGGAATTCAAACATGTTGTTGTGTGTCATCATCTCATTGAACTTCTTATCACTCACCGACATGTAGGTGTTTAAAATCTTGGTTTGGTTCTCACTGATCTCCTTTAAGGTAGTCTTGGAAGATGGGGGTTGAGCATAAGAATTATCACCATTGCCTTGAGGTCTTGGAGCAAATCCGGGTGGGGGTCCCCTTTGGTTGTTGTTTTGAAAATTTCCCCTATTTTGATTGTTCCAATTACCTCGACCTTGATTGTTACCAAAATTTTGGTGTTGGCCACAAAAACCATGAGATTGGCCTTGATTCCCATACCCTTGGCTTTGGTTTTGATTATTATAACCTTTGTTTTTATAGTTACCTCGGAAACCTTGATTTCCTTGGTTCCTATATCCATCATTGTTGTAGTTATCAAAGCTACCTTGTTGGTGAGAATTCCTATTCCCAAAATTCCTTGGACCATCAAATATTTGTCCATTGTTATTATTAGAGACAAAATTCTATTTTATTTATTTTATTTTATTTTGTCCATTGTTGGACCATCAAATCTTTGTCCATTGTTGGTGAGAATTTATTTCTATTTTATTTATTTTATTTTATTTTGTCTTGATTTTTCCTCTCGGGTTTGCTTGTATGTAGGTGTGGTTTGGATCGAGGTATGTGTATTAATCTAAAGTAATGTTTGAAGTTTTGGGTCCCAATCAGGGAAACAATTGAGCAAGTAGCCCAAGAAGGAATCACCGAGCAGCCCAGCCGCGGACACGGGGTCTGCATCCGTGGGCACGGGATCGCGTACACCAAAGCAGCCAAAAATCAGGCAGTAAGCCCCCGAGGTCTGGCTGCGGGCTTACCGTGGGCGTGGAAGTCGTGCCCTGTTCCAGCCAATTCTCACTCACACATTTCCTCTGCTCCCGCATTTAACATACTTTTCACCTCCAAGCACCGCCCGCAATAATCACCACCTTCGCACCACCTTCCAGCCACTACCAGCTGTAACAAACACCACCTTTGGACCACCTTTAAACCGCAACTGACGCCTTCAACTAATTCACCACCAATTAGCCTCCAACATCAGATATTCGAAAGCAGCAACAACAACATTAAACTCCAATTGAAGACCCATATGTGCGCTCATCATGAGGGTGGTCAAAACCATTGTTGCTTGCGCACAAGCTAGGTGTAAATTGGTCGTTGATCAATTATAGCTGATGGGGATGAGCAGCTTTGATGGTGCGTGATAGAGGATGTGAGAAGCATGGGATTATTTCCTAACTAAGAGCACCAAAAATTGAAATCCACTGATTTCTTATTTTCGATTCTTTTTTTATTATTATTATTTTCCTTTTGTTTTCTTATTTTCATTTTACTTTCTTTTTCTTTTTCTTATTTATTTTATTTTCATTTATTTTATTTTCCTTTTCCTTTTTTTTTTCTTTTCTCTTTTATTTTTTCTTAACCTTGTAATTATAAATACCCATTTTTGTGTTAGAGAGAAAAACAATTAGAATTAGAATTAGACCACATATTTCTTAGCTAAGTTGAGAGCTTCTCTCTTTAGATCAAGGGTTAGTAATAGGAGTAGATTTTAGAGAAAGAAAGTGAGGAATTTTAATGGTTATTTAAGAGGTTGAAGGTTCAAGATGACAATTGTATTGAAGATCTCCATTATCAATCAATGAGGATTTCTTACTCTCTCTCCTCTTTATTGCATTATTCAATTTCATGTGTTGTTTGAATTGATTTTGATGTTTGATGCTTGATTAGTGTACTTGTTCTTGATATATTGTGAATTCTTTATTTCTTTAGTTATTTGTTGATAGAAGATGATATTTGAGTAGTTATTTGGCTAGGAATTGGGTGAAACTTGTATGATTGATTAATTGTGATTATTTTGGGAATTGTGTTGATTGATCGTTGAGATTAAAGTGATTAGTGAAGGTTTGCATGTGTGTAATTCAATTAGGCCTTGAGAACTATGCTAGATTGCATTGTAATTGCTAATGACACGAACAATTGATTCAGGAATCACAATTATCGATTGGTTTTGATTGCGATTCTCTTAGTTTGTTATTTATAGTGAACCCTAGCTTAACAATTAAGAAATAGCTCTTGATTCAAATTGATTTCTCTTATCATTAGTCTTCACAACCTTTGATTGGCATGTTCTTTCCAAGTTGTTGCAATTGACAAGATTACTTGTTTATCCCTGTTCCTAGTGTTTATTTCCTTTGTTACTTGTTTTGTTACTTGTTATTATTCTCTCTTACCTTCGTCTTCGACCTAGCTTAGGCACCCAAATCGAAAACATTTGAACATTACCGTTCCTTTAAGTTCAACCCTTGACTTGCCTCTATACTCGTATTTAGGTTTGTTAAGTATTTATAAATAAGTTTGACCGAGGGAAGATTAGATAACGACCTAGTTTTCCTCTCGTCACCTACGCCATACAATTTTACGTTGTATGATACGCCTTGCATTTTTACGCTGATGACGCCTTCCATTTTGTTGTGGACGTGAAAAAAGAAGAAAAGTCGGACATTTATAACGTAAGTACAGTAAAATGACAAACCTGTCTATGGGAGCTTTTACGTAAAGCACCACTATGGAACATCTTAAGACACTTTTACGAAAAACGTTCAAAACATATGCTTATGGAAGGCACAAAGCATGGTGTGCATGCAAAATGATGCAAAAATCTATCAAAGAAGAAAACAAATTACAAAATGCGAAGCAAGTAAAAAAAAAACTTTGATAATTTGTGTGCCATTACGTCTAATAACGAGCTAAAATCGTTGGAAAATAATCAAACGGATCAAAATCTGCATTCCAGTCATTTTAGTGACTAGTTTACACGCGCAACTCAGTGGGTCGCTGATATGTCTATTATATATGGTATTTTACCCCCGTCGTATGGTCACAATTAGTATTGTTTTTGGCTGGTTAGAGCCACTTTTATTACTAATTGGTGTTTTCTAGTGTTTTCGTAGTTTTGGTTGAGTTTTGTAGGGAAGTATGCTTTTGGAGCATTTTCCCAGGATTTTATGGAGCAACTACAGACATTGGAGGAGCTCGACATGTGAAATACGAGCATTGGGCCGAATGGTTAAAGCCCTTAAGTGAAAATCCAAAGATGGGTTAAGAAATAGCCCAATCAAAATCCAAGGTTCCAATTTAGGCCGGGCCCGATCGGGCAAGCATTGGCTCGATCGAGCGCGGCTGTTAGAAGCATGCTGCAAAGAAAAAGGTGCGCCCGATCAGGCGGCCCTTCACCCGATCGGGCGCGTGTTTCTGGGGACGCTTCTTCGAAGATTACTTAGTTCTTAATTGGGAATAATTAGAGATTTTTATATAAGTACGATTGAGTAGTTTTAATTTGTTTTACCTCTCTTCTTAGACTTTCTCTCTCTAATTACCCTCTCTCTACAAACTCCATACTTGGTTCTTGATTCAACTCCTTGTTTTCGATAACTTTGGAAACATTTTCCTCTTTATTAGTTTTAGTATTTCAATTTCTTTAATTCATCATGTCTCCTTTAATTGCTTTATTTAGTTTAGATTTAATTATGTGTGAATAGTTTAATTCTAGGGTTTTGGGAATCCGTAATTAATATGAAGGGCTAATTTATTATCATTGATTATTGACATTGCATGATAATTTCTTATTGAATTTTTTTAATTCTTTACAATTAGATTATGAATCGAGCAAATGTGATTTGATTGTAAAAGTATAGCAATATTGAATTAATAAATCGAGCATATGTTAATTTGATATTAAAGGCTAATTTCAATAGGAACTTAGACTTAGTAAATTGCGAGAGCCTGTTAACTCTTTGTTGATTAATAAATAGCGAGAGCCTGTTAATCATGTTACATGTGCAATGTTAATCTTTGGTTGATTTGTTTTATCCCGGATTATTAATTATTGGTGAACCTGTGACCCTAGGCTTCCTTATTATTGATTTGCTCATTAAACTTAATCTCCGTGGTATAGTTTCTTTTTACAACAACAATTTCGTTACTTGATAATTTAGATTATATTGATTAATTATGAATAGTTTCCCTGTGGTTCGACCCTTTTTCCCTATCTACATAGTTAGTGGATTTAGGTATTATCTTAGAATGGGTGATTACGATTTTAGCCTGTTAAAATTTGGCGCTGTTGTCCGGGAAACGGTTATATTTTTATTTTCTGATTATTTTTTTAGTCTAGATTATCCCCTCTTGTCTCAGAGAACGTTAGTTCTTTGAGGCAATTCTCATATTTATCTTTATTTCTTTGTTTTATACCCAGGTGTTCCAGATCAGGTTATATTCCATTCGATCCTGAGATAAATCCTAGCGGGCTTCGAGGACAACAATAATTGAAGAGACCCTCCAACTGATTCCAATGATTCAGAAATCCCTTAAGATTCAGAATCAGAGATGACAGCACCTAAGAAGCTTAGCGATTATTCGCAGCCATCCTTGACCAATTTTCCACACCTTACTCCTACACCGGCCCTTGATAGAGGGCAATTTTTTATCAAACCCTAATTTATCACAATGATAGAGAGGAAGCAATTCAGTGGAGCTAAGGGTGAAGATCCTAATCTTCACATTGCAGATTTCTGCCAGTATTGCAACACCATTAGATAAGTTGGGGTCACGCAACACAAAATCAGGGAGATTCTTTTTCCCTTTTCATTATGTGGAAAAGCTAAATTATAGTTTAATGATTTGAATAGAACTGCACTTGGTATTACTGACTAGGAAACTCTTGCCTTGAATTTTTATAATAAATATTACCCCACAGAGAGAACAACTTTACTAAGGAGCGTTATTCAGAACTTTGCCCAAGAGCCAGATGAAACTCTATATGAGGCTTGGGAGAGGTTCAAGGATCTATAGAGAGAATGACCCCACCATAATTTTACATAATGGCAGTTGATCCAAGCCTTTTACAATGGACTTGGAAATTCATCTAGATCATTTCTAGATTCTACAGCTAGTGGGAGATTCATGAATATTAAAGTGGAAGATGCAGGTCAGGTTATCAAAGATATGGCAATACACAATTCCCAATACAGGAATCTAAGAGGGTTTGCTAACAATGGAAAACATAATGTCGATTCCGTATCCTTTTTGCAACCTCAGTTAACATCTATTTGTCATAAACAAAATAATCTTACCGTTGTTCCTAACTTTGTAGCTAATGTTTCTATTGTTGCTAACAATGAAGCTTTTTGTGAAAATTGTTGAATTGTATGACACTGGGAGCAAGATTGTAGGAGTTCCATAGAGCAAGTTAATGCCTTTCAAACCTATAGGCAAAATAACCCATACTCCAAATCCTATAATCCTGTCCTCCGGAACCACCCATATTTTTTCTACCGGAGTACCAGTGTAAAAAACCCTCCACCTCCACAACAAACACAACAACAACCCCCACCACAGCAAAAATATTACCATCCTAATTTTGGCCAGAAAAACCAATCACAATCCTCCTCATCTTCTGACCCTGCTATGACAGAAATTAGAGCAATGTGTTCAAGCATGCAAAAGCACATGGACAGTAGGGATGCACAAATTAATTCAATTATAGCCTAGAATAAAAACATGGATAATCAAATTGTGCAAATTTCATCTACCCTACAAACCCGTCAGTAGGGAGCTCTACCATCGCAACCAATTCGTCTCACATATCATGCCAATGCAATCACTCTAAGGAGTGGTTCACATTATGATGGACCTCCTATGCCAAAGGAAGATGGATCTGTTCCTGATCCTGATTCCTTTATACCAAATGCTAATCCTATTAACCCTGTAGGGCCATAAAAAGATACTAACCCTTCTAATGTTTCATTGCAAGGTAATTCTCAGGATAAGGGAGGAGATGTGCAGAGCCCAGTTATCAAACTACCATTCCCCAAAATACAATTGAAGAGTAAGTTTGATAAACAATTCGGTATGTTTTTGGAGGTTGTGAAAAACTTGCAGGTAATAGTTCATTTCACTGATTTAATCACTCAGGTTCCTACATATGCTAAATTTATGAAAGATATCATGACTAGGAAAAGGGCCTTTGATGAGGTAGAAAATGTAGCTTTTACAGAGGAATGTAGTGCTTTATTTCAAAATAAATCCCCTCCTAAGTTAAAGGATCCTGGTAGTTTTTTTATCCCCTGTCATATCGGTAATGTATTTGTTGATAAAGCATTGTGTGATTTGGGTGCTACTGTTAGTGTTATGCCATCGTCTGTATGTTCTAAACTTAATATGGGTGATTTAAAAGTTACTAATATGACTTTGCAAATGGCAAATCGTTCTGTTAAGTACCCTTTAGGTATTTTAGAGGATGTCCCTGTCAGTGTAAGTAAATTTTTTATCCCTGTTGATTTTGTTGTTTTAGACGTGGCTGAGGATACACAAATTCCCATTATATTAAGTAGGCCTTTTCTCCATACTGCAGCATCCATTGTTGTGGTTAAAAATGGTAAACTAACCCTTTATGTTGGAGATGATAATATCACATTTGATATAGGGAAAGTTTTGAACGGACCTATGCTAGAGGAAGATTGTTGTTTAATTGATGTGATTGATATAATGGATGATATTTGTGATTAAAGCTTACCACAGGTGCTTGTATGGGATCCCTTGGAGGGAGTTCTTTGTGGAGATATATCTGCAGATAATGCAAGCGTCTGGGGTAATGAGGTGGATGTCATTGAAAAAGCTCTTTCACTAGAAGAGCTAGATCCCAAAGAGACCCTAAAGGTAGTGAAATTAGTTCTGGAATCAAAACCTACAGAGGTTAAGAAACCTGAGTTAAAACCTCTCCCTTCTCATTTAAAATATGTTTTTCTTAATTAGCAGGAACTATATCCTGTGATCATCAGTACTGCACTTAATGACCCACAAACTTCCCAACTTCTGGAGGTTCTTCGAACCCACAAAAGAGAAATTGGGTACAATATTGATGATCTTAAGGGTATTAGCCCTGACTTTTGTATGCAGTGGAGGTTCTTGCCATGGAGGTGGCTATCTAGGATGGATAGGGATGATGATGAGGAGTAGCTACTCCTAGCTACACTCCCAAGTCAACGAGGACATTGCTTTATTTGGCTTGGGGGAGATGATCTTGTACATATGGTAACCCTCTCTCTCTCTTCTGTATTTAATGCTTTCTAGTATAGATTAATTTGCTTTCTAGTGTAGTTTTATTTCTTTCCTATATAAAAAAATAAAAAAAAAAATTAATAAAAAAATACAAAAATACGTTCCAATGAATTGTAAATCATGCTTCCCTGTGCCCCATACTTGAAAAAATATTATTTTGATTCTTGGTATATGATGATGAGCATTGTGGATTTGTTGATCATGATTTGAAGTTTGATTGCTCGGATGCCTAGACATGCATCAATTTTGCCCAACTACTTGTGAATATAGTGCTTGAGTAGTTTATTGGGTTAGGAATTGTGTGATAGTTCCTGGTATGTCAATGAATTTGAGTATTGGTTTGCAACTATGAGTAATGTTTGTATGACTCATTATTATGCCCATTGAGGAGGACGAAGGCGTTCATTCTTTTAGGTAGCCTTCAGATAATTTAGATACATTTGTTCCCTTCTTGTAATCCATGTTGTTTCCTTGACCTTTTTGTTGTTTATTAGTCACATTACAAGCCTATTTTTCCCCATTGGTTACTAGTCCCAACCTTGGATTGGGGGAGCTATTAGTGAGTGAGGTGAGGGAGTTTGTAGTGTGCTTATTATTTTCATAATTTGGGTTGGTTTTGAGAAGTTATTTTGTTCTTGAACGTAGTTTATTTTTTATGAGCTTGATTGTTTAATCTTCTTGAGAAAGAATAAAGTATGATGTTATGAAAAAAAAAAAAGAGAAGTTAAAAAAAAAGTGAAAACAAGTGAACTTCAATAGAAAAAAGAAAAAAAAAGAAAAAAAAAAGTTTAATGTTCAAGTGTTCTAAGTGAATGTTGATTGAAAGAAAGAAAAAAAGTAAGTTTTAATAAAAATTAGAGTTTGGAAAATAAAGTTTGTTTATTCACTCAAGTTCTATATTATTATACTTTTGTGAGCTATACTGTAAGTGTTGGGATTGTTTGTTATGTTTGGTGTATATTTGGTGATCTTTTGTTGGAGTTAAGTATGTTGGAGATGATTGGTCATTATTTATTTTTTACCTTGGTTTTATTAGGATTTGGCTCCCTTTTAGTATGGCTTTTCTCCCACATTTTCCTAAATATTTCCTACCCTTTACCCTAGCCTTACATTACAAGCTTTAAAGACCTTACGACCTTGTGCATAGAGTTGTGTAAATGTGAAAGTGTTTCTTATCAAAGCAAGTTATGATTGGACATAATTCGAGTCGACTAGTGGTTGAGTGCATGTCTTTTGAAACACACGAGAGTGTGAGTTGGGAGGGCATTGTTCACATCAAAGGGGTTGGGATGGAGAGAAATCGAGTACATCTTTTACTCGCCACATAAATGAGAGTTGAGTGTGTTGAGCACAAGTCTTGAATTCTATATGGTCATGTAGTTTTCTCTACTTGACAATTGTTGGGGAGGATGAGTGATTAGATGAATGAGGTTGATTGACGTTGAAGCATGTTTATTAGATTTTCCTTGAATTGTTTGTTCTTGATTTTGATTATTTAGGGTGAGACATGTTTTATGGATTTATTGATGAGATCTTTGCAAAGGGACAAGCAAAGGTTCGGCATGGTGGAGTTTGATATGTCTATTTTATATGGTATTTTACCCCCGTCCCATGGTCACAATTAGTAGTATTGTTTGCTCGTTAGAGTCACTTTTATTTCTAATTGGTGTTTTCTAGTGTTTTTGTAGTTTTGGTTGAGTTTTGTAGGGAAGTACGCTTTTGGAGCATTTTCCCAGGATTTTATGGAGCAACTACGGACATTGGAGGAGCTTGACATGTGAAATACGAGCATTGGGCCAAATGGTTAAAGCCCCTAAGTGGAAATCCGAAGATGGGTTAAGAAATAGACCAATCGAACTCCAAGGTTCCAATTCAGGCCGGGCCTGATCGGGCAAGCATTGGCTCGATCGGGCGCGGCCGTCAGAAGCATGCTGCGAAGAAAAAGGCGCGCCCGATCGGGCTGCCCTTCGCCCGATCGGGCTCTTGTTTCTAGGGAGGCTTCTTGGACGATTACTTAGTTTCTAATTAGGAATAATTAGAGATTTTTGTATAAGTACGATTAAGTAGTTTTAATTTTCTTTAACTCTCTTCTTAGACTTTCTCTCTCTACTTAGTTTATTTCTCTCTCTCTCTCTCTACAAACTCCATACTTTGTTCTTGATTCAACTCCTTGTTTACGATAACTTTGGTGACATTTTCCTCTTTATTAATTTCAGTATTTCTATTTCTTTATTTCATCACATCTCCTTTTATTGCTTTGTTTAGTTTAGATTTAATTATGTGTGAGTAGTTTATTCTGGAGTTTTGGGGAATCCGTAATTAATATGAAGGGCTAATTTATTATCATTAATATTGACATTACATGATAATTTTTTATTGAATTGTTTTAATTCTTTACAATTAGATTATGAATCGAGCAGATGTGATTTGATTGTAAAAGTATAGCAATACTGAATTGATGAATCGAGCAGATGTTAATTTGATATTAAAGGTTATTTTCAATAGGAACTTAGACTAAGTAAATTGCGAGACCCTGTTAAGTCTTTGTTGATTAATAAATTGCGAGAGCCTGTTAATCATGTTATATGTGCAATGTTAATTATTTGTTGATTTTTTTTATCCCGGATTATTACTTATTGGTGAACCTGTGACCCTAGGCTTCCTTATTATTAATTTTCTCCTTAAACTTGATCTCTGTAGTATAGTTTCTTTTTAGAACAACAGTTTCGTTATTTGATAACTTAGGTTATATTGATTAATTAGGAATAAATTAACTCGTTTCCCTGTGGTTTGACCCTTCTTTCCTATCTACATAGTTAGTGGATTTAGGTATTATTTTCGATTGGGTGATTACAATTTTTGCCTGTCAGTCGCACTAGTCAGGCGCGCGCATCATTCTGAGTTGCGCTAGTCGGTCACGCGCAACTAAATTAGTTGACGCGACATTTAAGTCAGCAAAAAGAAATCACTGAGCGCGATTTTCATTTTTCTTTCTTCTTCTTCTTCCTTCGCCATTTTCGTCCCTTTCTCTCTCAAAAAAGCTAAGTTTTTTGTGATTTTCAAGGCCAAAGGAAGCATATGTCACCCTTAATTCACATTTGCCACTAGTAGAAAAATTGTCATTTGTAACAGGTTATTTGAAACGGGCAAAGCTATGCCCGTTACAATAAACATATCCGTAACGGTAAAAATAACAGTCCATTACAAATACATATTATTCGTAACGGGCAACATGGTGCCCGTTACGAAAACTACGTTTTTTGTAACGGACAAGATCTTGCCCATTACGAATAGTTATTTATTTGTAACGGACAAGATTGTTCCTGTTACAAATGTTTTAATTTGGGCCCAGCTGATGAGAAAAGCCCATTTATAACTAGGGTTTCACTCTCCTCAGTTAGTCAGTCCTAAAGCCTTCATTTCCTCATCTTCTTTCCTTTCTCCTCTCTCCTCCAAAAACCTTAACATCCCCAAATTTCCCACTCGATGACATCTTATCAATGGATGTTCAGCTCTTACAAAACCCTAAAATTCCATCCCCAAATCAACCAAATTCCTCAAATTCTCTCAATGTCTTCCTCAGAGTTTTCCCCCTTCCAATTGGTCCTTCCAAAACCTCTAAATCGAAACAACCTAATTCGAAAAAACCCAGTAAGAGTTGTCTTACAATCAATGATGATTCATTCTATTACGATTATTCCCCCGATTTACGATTCTAACAGGTTGAAATTTGAAGTTTACAACGGATTTTCGCATGTTTTTTCTTCAAATTCTTCTTAGGTTTGTTGTTTGAATTTCCCCCCCCCCCCCCGCCCCCCCCCCCCCCCCCCTTTTTAGTTTTCGGGATTTTTTCAATTGATTGATTGCATACTTTTTTAAGTGAATTGTGGTTAAAACTGTGCAGGATGAAGTGTATGATAAGCTCATGAGACCGATGGTTGAGGGATTTATGAGTGGAAAAGGTGGGATTTTGGCTGCTTTAGGGCCTAGTGGTTCTTGGAAAACTAACACCGTTTTCGGATCTGTCAAAGTACCCGGTTTGGTTCCTCGCTCTCTTCGCCACATTTTTGATGCTGAAGCTGGTAAATCATCTATGATGTCGAGGTGATTATGCTCGCAATTTTCCTTTTGAGGTTCAATTAATAGTATTATATATGTGTGAGATGGTAATTCATTTTTTTCTCTATGTTGCTCTTTTAAAGTCTTTGCGGTCCTGTTGGTGAATTGCTCTTGAAGATTCGGTAGATCGAAGCCTCTTCATAAGGTCCTTGGTGGTGGTAAACGTATGTTTCCTCAATTTTTTATTTTTCCCTCTTTTCTTTTATTGAAATGTTGTTTGTATATTCTGAATTTGATTGTTTCCTGTACAATTTGTGCGAATTGATGATTGTTTTTAGCTTGATTATTGTTTATTAATGGAGATCGGGAGTGATTTTGATTGTATTTGTTGCTTTTATTGATTGATTTGTTTGTATGATGGTGTTATTATTACAGATCTGAGTTTTGTTGCAGCCTCCTAAACCTCCTGATGTGTTTTTATTAAAATTATTGCTACTTATTTCTATCAATTCACCCTCCTTTCATATTATTAGCTAGAAAGCTAGGCAGCAACCATATATTATTACTTAGTTGCTTTATACATAATAATCATCACTCCTCTTTGATTTCATTTGTACATTTCATTCATCACTTTCACTTCCAACCATGACTTGCTCTAAGGATCAAAAGGTATTACCTCCATTTCAATCTTGTTTCTTTTTAGTTTGTATATAAATACATTCTAATTAAATTTATTGATTATTTGAATGTATATATGTTGATCGACCAGATAACAACAATGGTGTTGAAGGTTGATCTTGATTGTTGTCAATGCTACAGGAAGGTTAAAAAAGTTCTATGCAAATTCCCTCGTGAGTCTCTTCCTTCTAGCGCAGCTTCAGTTCATTCCTCATTAATAATATCATTATACTGATCGATAATTATCTTCATGATTTAATTAAGTTATACTGGACTAAGTTATGTGATTTGATTTGATTTGATGACAAGAGAAATACGAAACCAAGTGTTCGATGAAAAGAATAACACGGTGACCATCACCGTGGTTTGCTGCAGTCCTGAGAAGATCAGAGACAAGATTTTCTGCAAAGAGGGCTATTACATGGTATATCTTATTTTTGTTTGTCTAATTTCTCAATTAATTGGTAATATAGTCTGATGTTGTTGGACTAATTGCTTTGCAGTAATTTTATTCTTCTTTTATTCAATTTTCTTTGTAAATTTTGTGATATGTTTGTGTAATTGTGTTGTTGGTAGGTGGATCATGGATAGAGTCATGGGTCCTTGGTTAGTATTATCTACATATGCCTGAGATTTAGAGCGAAAAAGTGATGATCGCAGCTTTATGAGAATTTGTTTTGGTCTAATACAATATAAAAGTCCTAATTTTTAATTTGAGGATTAGTTGTCTAATTGATCAAGTATTTCAGTTTCAGTTTAAGTTGGATATTTTATTTCCAACCTTACTTCTTGAGTTTGTTGCATTAAAAATACGTAGCATGAGCTTTTCCATAAGGCACAATGTGTCAATGTCTAATTAATATGGATTATAGAGGTCGTAGGCTTATAAGGTCTTGGCCTAGTGATAAAGGCTAAAAGCTTGTAGTTGTTCAGATTATAGATAATTTATTAATAGTTGTTGTCGCTGGCTACTTTTTTGGGGAGCTATATGTAGAGTGAGAGGGTGGGAGGTGGAGTTTTGGCTTCTACTTAAATTTTTTTCATACTTGATGAATATTACACATGTACATTAGCATTTAGCAGTATATGGAATGCAGTACTCAAATGTGTTAAGAGTCTCTTTTAATGTTATGAAGTACTCTCTGTAAATCTTTTTTTTTTTTGACAAAAGCTTCAAACCTTTTGCTTGAGCTTTAAAAAAGTATCATATCATTAAATTGGACTCATAACGGGTTATTTGTAACGGGCACTTGAAATGTGCGTTACGAATAACGGGTTATTTGTAACGGACACTTGAAATGTCCGTTACGAATAACGGGTTATTCGTAACTGGCACTTGAAATAACCCATTATTCGTAACGGACACTGCCCGTTACGAATAACACTGGCTATCCGTAACGGTGGCATACGTAACGCCCGATGCCCGTTACGGATAGGCCTTTTTTGCCCGTTACGGATAGCTATTTTTCCACTAGTGTGCCATAATCCAATGTAAGTTTTTTATTTAAATTTGTTCGTTTTGGCGGAATTTTGGCCTTTTTGAATCATTAAACCCCGATTATCGAATTTAGGGGTTTTTTTATTCAGACAATTATTCTTGAAATTGTTTATTCCATGTTATTATGCTATGTTTAAGGAGTGTTTTGCAATAAATTTCATGAAACATGGCTGAGTATTGAGCCTTGTATTAGCATTTCTTCGTTTCAGTACGTTTTTTGCACTTTCCGTCAAATTTCGTTTGTTTCTTGTTATTTTGCTTGATCATTTTGACTATACTTATTAATTATGAAGTAATTATAGTATTAAAACTAGTTATATCTTCATAAACAATGTTTTGAGAATTTTGAATCCGAAAATTGGCGTGAAGTGTATACTTAGCTTATTTTTGCCATGTTTGAACTTCAAGATTGTTTGGTAGACGATAATTGCACCATTGTTACTATTATTCGCCTAGGCATAGTTGATTCTTTGAGATTATTAAATATAATCCCTTGAATGCTTAGTTGAAACTGGTATAAGATGTCTTTTATCGGTGTTTGAAGCCCCCATTACTTAGTTTAACAGCAGGTATCGTAGCCCCCTAGCATGGGTGGTGTAGACACCCAAATGTGTCTCCCCAAAACCAAACCCAGTGATAAATACCTTTCATTTCATTTGTTATCTAGAAAAGCGAAATTGTGAAAAGTCTAGTGATGAGGATGTTTTTATTCAAATATCTTTTCTTTCTATTTTTGAAAATATTTCTTTTCTTACCCTATTCATGAAAAACGTGCATTCTAGTTTATTTTAGTCCATGATATGGGTCCAATGATAGTGTAGTTGGATGGGGATTGAAAAAACCTTTTTAACAACATATTATAAGCCCAATTTAGATGAATAATGAGAAATTAATGGCCAAAATACTAAACTGGGCCTAAACCAGGTTTTACATATGACCCAATGATCATGTGGAGTGTCCAAAGGTTTAATCATATTCATAAACTAATTAGGTTTTTTTTAGAAGCTTTTATGTGTTTCTAAAAGATCTTAATTATCCTTTTTGATAATAATGTTTCAAAGAGTTTGAAATGAAATAAAACTACTCCTTTTGAGAATCCTTGTTTTGTATGAAACGAAATATATTCAGATATTATTTTTGTGCCTCATAATCTTTATCCAAATCTTATATGGTTAGATAGATGTTAAAATTATCTTTCCAATGATATATTATAATGTTAATTCCGAGCTATAACGAAAAGGATATGAATGAGATACGAAACTCTATCCAAAACAGACACCCTCCACTATTTCGGCCATATCTTTTATCTACAGAAGATTTTAATCTGATTCCAACTAGGTTGGAAAGTAGACTTCAAGAGCTTTCGAACGACATATATATGACTTATTTGGACTTCTAGATAAAAAGATATGATAAAAACAAAATCCATAAAAACTTTCTTGCATCGCCAAACGACAGGTTTGTCGCCTGAGGTGTGTTTAATCCTTTTTGAACTCTAATTCGTTTCTATCAATTCCAGACTATTTTCTTATAAATAGGGTCCCTGGACCTCCATTTTTTAATAAGTAGAATTCTCTAATTATCTTCTCTCTCTCTAAGCTAAAACTTATTCTCTCTCTCCCTCTTTCTAGCCTAGCGTTTTACAAACACAAATCCTCATACATTAGCACTAGACACACCTAGCCAAGTTCGAAGTTGCCTTTACCCTATACGTGACATGCTTAATATTTCTGAGGGTTTGGTCCCAAATCTCTATTTCAATTATTTAATTTAATTGTTTGATTATTATTTTTCTTGAAGTTACTAACGTGTGTTTTATGTTATTAGAAAGAGGTACGACGCATCCAAGTAAGTGCTTTAATTGTTTAATTGATATTTTGATATAGAAATCATGTTTAGGTTGTTATTTTGATTCCTAGTATCATGTTGAGATGCTTTTCTTAGTATCATGTTAGGATGCTTTTCTTAGTATCATGTCAGGATGCTTTTCTTAGTATCATGTTTAGGGTAATAACTAAAACTTCTAATATCATGTATGATTATGATGATGCTTCCTATTTTCTTTCCTAATATCATGTTAGTATCATTTTAGGGCTAAGATTTGTACTTTATTGTTTAGTGACATGATAGGGTTTGTTATTAATCTTGTTATTATCATGCCTAAGATCTTTCTATTATTATGCTTTATTTTTAACATGAATAGGATTATTTTAATTATGATCATTATGATTGTTATTATCATGATTATTTTTATGTTGCTTGATATTTATTGTTATTGCTTGATCCTGCCTTTTATGCATGTTTAAAGGGAATTTGTACTTGTAATCACGCTTAATAAGATAATTAATAATCTTGTTTAGGGTTAATATGATTATACTTCAAGTGATCCCCAATAATAGTTTTATTTGTGCATTAATATTCAACTAACATAGTTGAACAGGTTTAGTGTTATCCTATTGATTGCATGTTAGTCAGAAAGCGCACATGAATACGATAAGAATAAAGTAGAGGCCTTTTTATTAGGGAAGGTTTAGTCTCTTTTAGGTTGGATTTGTACCTTTTTCCCCGAACACTAGTCATCGTTCCAGACCTATTGGAGTTAACGATCTCATGGATCGTTAAGGGGTGTAACCTTCAACCTGTGAACGGTTTACAAGTACCTAAAACTTGTCGGCAACTCTTTTGCTCTATCTTCTTTCCCTTTGGATGCCACCATGCTTAAGGCTATGATCATAGTGGGGTTCAAGTTTGGGGTAATGCTTGAAGTATTCCCTACAGGTTTTGGCGACTCCGCTGGGGAGGATTTCTATTTTAATTCCTGAAATTTATTTTTGCAATTATTTAAAATGAGTGGATGAGACTCGAAAAGTTCTAACTATTTCATGTGCGTAATTTTGATTAACATTATTTTCATATGCAGAAAAAAGGTTCTCATTGGAAAGACCATCCGTAATGAGTAAAAAACACAGGATTTTTACACGTAGGAAATTTGAGAAATATCTTTCACAACTGAAATCGAAATAATACTGCGAAAACTGGAAAATTCTAAGAACGCCGAAAGCTGCTGAGGCATGTAGGAACTAGCGTCTAGAAAACAGCGATCGTCACTTGAAAAATGGCCTTGTCGCTTGGCGACGGACTCTGTTGTTTAGCCCGTGTTCTTCCAATACCAAGCCAGAAATCTGCCTTCTTGTTTTGACTAGTTCTAGCACTGTTGGCTCGATCCTACTTCCTGATTAAGTTTTTTCTCTCTTTTCTGAAACCCATATGTGTTCTACATATGGACATAACCCTTTGGGAATTCATGCTCCATCTACCCGATTTAACGCTCTGACCAACAAAGTGTACATCCGAGAATGTTGAATTTACCAAACAACGGAAGCGAGTTTAACTTGCGGGGTCCCATCCACACGCGCCAACCCTTCCAAAGGTAAGTCTTCCGCGCGGTGCATCCGTACTCATTACCATGGACCCTCTTGGACTAACCCATATCCTGAACTTTAGAGAACTACAGCCATGGTTAGGTTGCAAACTCATTGCATCATGTTGTGACTACTTGACTACTTGTGCATACTTATTATGTGACTAAACTAACCGTTTTGTTTGACTTTTTTTGTAATAAGTCTTAATAGACTAACCAATGACTAAAGTACTTTGCTTAATTAATTGAAATTAATTTGAGCAATAAAAATATACATTAAATCGAGTCATAGTTCCTTTAAGTCAACCCGGATTTTTATTCCCGTATCCTGCACATGCATCAACTTGGTTGGTCATAGCCGAAGTTATAGGAAGAACTACGAGTCGTAAAAACTATGGATCTGTAGCCCCGAGTTTTATCTTTAATTTGGCGTTGATTTCGTCCCAATCAAAGTAACGGATCAAAAGTTATGACTAAAATACCACAACCTGTCTAGTTTAATGCATATACATGAAGGTTAACTTAGTTTTTGCTTGAGTCTAGTCACATAGTATAGCCACATGTTCATGACACGAGTCTTAACATGTCACCTACAATCACTAGTCTTAGCACACACTTTGTATATGTCAGCATGTCACCATGACCATGTCTTAGGTTTATGCATGAGTCATTTTCCGTCATTCGAGTGGAGGGTTCAATCTATTTCCATTCTCTTCCACATTCTCTTCTATGTTGAATAGAGCTTGAGTCAAAATAAATAATAAAAAACTTATCCCTAATTTCTTTTCCACAGTACTGGGTCAAGGAGAGAAGGGCGATTAATCAAGGACAACACCTTCGTTCAAGTTCAACTTTTAGATAAACACGTTGATCGAAAAAGAAAAGCTAAGAAGATAATGGCAAGTCAAGAAGAAGTCAATGAGCTTAAGAAGAAAATGACAGACGTGACTGAGGTGTTGAAGGATTTAACCCTCCAAATCAATGACCCTGTGAAACAACAACAAATGGAGCTCATACAAGAAAGCTTGAGCAAAATATCCAATGACTATAGATTCCGGGGCATTAGCTCACAAGGGGTCTTAGTGGACAAGGAGCTTCTTCCGCAGAAGATCAATGCCAATGACATCCCTAAGTTCTAGCCAACAAATAATCCTTACTTCCACTTAAGGGAATTTGAGACCATAATGAACATAAAGGGGATTGATAGGAAAGTATTTCATTCCTTGTTTTCTTTATCTCTTGAAACTGTTTGTCAACAATAGTTCTTTTTCCTTGAAAAAGAGAAAACCTCTTCTTGGGTTTTCATAACGAACGATTTTATAGAAGATATAAATACAACATCCAAGATGAAACACACCACAGACAACTTGAGATGTTAAAACAAAAAGAAAACGAAGGGTTAAATTATTTCTTCAACAAATGGAGGGAAACTTCTGCTAATATGGTTAAGGTTCTTACCGAAAAAGAGGTTGTAAGGATATTCATCAAGAACCTTCAAGAAAAATATTCAAAGCACTTAATATACCAACATAACTTGAATATTTTCAAGGCTGTGTATAATATAGGCATTGACATTGAAGATGATCTTCTGAAAGATAATAGTGCGAGAGGAAAGAAGAACGACCATCCTTCTTCTTCATCTCGCATTAACGAAGTACATGCTACGAACACCTCTAAACCACGAATCCAAAGGTCGAAAAGAGTGTTCACTCCACTTGGTATGAGTTATAAAACAAATTTCGAGAAGTTACACCACAAAGGACTAGTCATGCCCGTAGGACCTATCAAAGACCCAGTTCTAGAAGCCAGGCCACCTAAGTGGGATCCTAATAAACACTGCAAGTATCACCAAGGAAAGGGTCACGACACTGAGGAGTGTTGGCAACTCAAATAAGCTATTCAAGACCTGATCGATGACAATAAAACTTCCGAGATTCTAGCCATCGCAGAAGATCTAACATCCTTCGATCCTTCACTCTTTATCGCATCTGTAGGTGAGCCCATGATCGAGATAGCTTATATAACCTCTATTGATAAAGTGGCCATGATTGAGGAGGATGATAGAATTTTCTTAGATAATACCGGGGAAAATTTGTTATGTTTAAAAGAAGACGTTCAAAAACTGCAAGAGGTCATTGCCATGCTTTTGAATGTGGTAAAAGGACTACAAAATCGGATGTTGGTTATCGAAAAAAATTCTCACCAAGGATTTAATGAAGAACTCAATGCTCCTAAGCCACAGGCAAAACAGACCATTCAAAAATAGACACCAATATAAATGACTTATGATGAAGCTTTTGCCTATATTCATGATCAAGGTCTCATTCA